ACATTTTAAAAACATGAAAAACTAAGAATTAATTAGAATAATTAAAAACTTGCAAATGTCCCACCTTCTTTCTTGACGTTTATACGATTGATCTCGTTGCAGATTGATCTCAAACGCTTAAACTTTCAACTATAATTTTTAATCACGCTTCTGCAACCAGTATTTATTTTAGGCAGACAGTGGGGGGTCTTTCTGCTCCAGTCGGCATGGCCAATGCAAGCTTAGCCTTTACAGGACTGCATGTTCACAGTGTTTGTGGCGTTAACTGGTCTTCTATTGTTTCCACTTCAGGTTGCCAATTGCCTTTGAAATATTTGTGGCTGAATTCGAAGGCAGTGCTATAAAACTAATGTTTATATAGTGATTTGTCAAACAAGTACCGTAAATTCTGGAACACTGCATCAAACAACTCCTAGACCTAGACCTAGAGTATAGGCTATTATTCTTCACCGTTTTTGGTGACAGAACGACGACACTTTGGAGCTGATTCAAGTTCTTTAAAATTACAGCGAGTAAAAAGTAAAAGCGATTAAATAAATTAAATAAAGTTATTTAATTTAATTTAAACAACTTAAAGTATAAAAATAAACATGAAAGGTTTCAGGTTTTGACTGCTTTGACTTTTGTCAGTGAAGTAACCTTTATTGTTGAAATAAATGCAAATATAAGGCTAATGAGTAATTTAAAGCTTAGAACAAGACGTGTTTGCTGTTTTAACTGGTCTTTGATTGTTATCACCCAGGTATAATTATATACTGTAGGTTTATTAGAAATAGCCGATTAGAAATATTTGTGTCTGCAGGCAGTGATTTAAATGTAAAACAAATAGTTATATATAGGCATTCGTCAAATTAAGTTAAGAAAGAAGTGTTGACTGTTGATCATGAATTTTATTTTATGTTGTTTGAAAACTGAAACTGCAAAAAGTGAAAAAGAAACACAACTAGTTTACACTGCAAAAAAATTGGACTAAACATCTTGAGTAAAAATGATGTATCCACTTATCCGCATGCTAAGAAATAAAGTAAACTTGAAACTTTAAGTAAATGTGCTCATAAGTAAGACAAACTTAACCCATTTCAATGGGCAATCCCCACTCCTGACGTCATCAAAACAATAGCCAATGAGGTTAATAATTAATCCAAGATGGCGGACAGCTCAATGCTTTCACTCAAAATATTTCAAGAATTAAGCTTGATGTGAAAAGTTTGTAACAACTAACAAGATTTTACAGATATTTTAAAGGTTCTTTCAAACGAGACAATAAAATATTTTGTTGCCATTGTCCATTAAACAAAAGTGATCAGTGACAGTGATTGTTTGTTGTGACCCGTTCTTTAGAAAACCTTTATGGCTTTGTTTTTCATTGTTAGATAACTTAAATCAAGCACCACAGAACTTTTTCCTTTTGTCCATGCAAGCAGTGAAATATATATGTGAATATATCTGAAACGATATCTTATATATCATGAAGCAATTGACAAAGGACAATATACAATTGGTATTTTCCTTGACTTGTCAAAAGCATTTGATACTATTAATCATGGCATCCTGATTAAGAAATTAGAATACTATGGAATTAGAGGTGTTGCTCTTAAATGGTTTGAGAACTATCTAGCCAATAGAAAACAAATTGTTAAGTATAATGACACTAAGTCTGAAGCAATGACAATAACTAGTGGTGTTCCTCAGGGCTCAATTTTGGGGCCACTATTATTTTTATTGTACATAAATGATATCCAAAATTGCAGCAAACTAGTTTCCAAAATATTGTTTGCAGATGACACAAATATTTTCCATAGCCATTCTTGCTTAAAAGAGTTAAATTTAATCATGCAAGACGAAATAAATAAAATAGCAGATTGGATTAGCAGCAATAAACTATCACTAAACACAACTAAAACAAAATTTATTTTGTTTAAATCATCAAACAAAAGGATTAAACATAATACAATAACATCGATAAATGGACAACCAATAAAACAAGTCAAAAATACAACTTTCCTTGGTGTTGTTATTGATGAACACTTAACATGGAATGATCATATTGATTTAATTACGAAAAAAGTTATAAAATCTACAGGAATAATATCCAAAATTCGACATTTCACAAATATTAATACTCTTAAACTAGTCTATTATGCTTTAGTTTATCCTTATTTAATATACGGAAATTTGATTTGGGGAAACACATATAAAAAACGACTACAAAAATTAATAAACATTCAAAAAAAAATAATACGATTAATGATGTTCAAGTCATATTCTGAGCATTCTGAACCACTATTCAATGAAGCAAAAATCCTTAACATTGAAAAAATTAATGACTTTCTGATCAGTTTATTCATGTTTCGATATCACTACTTGGATAATTTACCAAAATACTTTACCAATTACTATGTTACTAACAACAAAATACATGAACACAATACAAGAAACGCATCCAAACTTCATAAATCATACTCCAGAACTAATTTTGTCAAACATTCACTTCAAAATAAGGGTGTAAATATCTGGAATGAGTTAAATACTGACTTAAAAAAATTAAAATCCTATTGCACATTCAAAAAAAATTCAAAAAACCACTTCTTGCTGTTGCATTCGGAAACATAGATTTTATTATATGTATGTTTGTCATTATTTGAAACATTATAAAAATTCTTCAATCTCATCTTCTTTTTTCTTTTTCTATTAAACTTACTTTAAGTTCTGACCAATCAATGTAATAATTAAATACTTTTAACCTAGGGGTCTTAATCAAAAGCCTTTGTTTGGTTTCTAGTAGACCTCTAGCCCTATTTCTGTAATTCTATATCCTATATATACATATATATATATATATATATATATATATATATATATATATATATATATATATATATATATATATATATATATATATATATATATACGAGTAGGTTTGTGTATACGAAACGCAAAGAGTGCTCAATATCATAAAGATAGAGCAAATGTAGAATTTCGCTTACCTCAAAATTCCGCAACAGTCTGTTTCATCAGTAAATAATCATCAGGCGGTATGACAAGTTTCGAAAAATAGGGCTGCTTATATGTGTTTTGGCCGGAACGTGGGGGTGTGTGGGTGAAACAAAGCATGCATTCATCTATTGTTTGCGTTGTTTTGTTGGACGCAAGGCCGAAATGGTTGTTTTGGTTCTTGTTACCTCCGCCAGGAGGTTATGTAATCATCTGGGTTTGTATGTGTGTGTGTGTGTATGTATGTGTGTGTGTGTGTATGTGTGTGTGTTTGTCTGTGAGCACGATAACTCAAGAAATATCAAACATATTCATACGAAATTTTTTTAATGCATTTCCCATCGGCTAAGGAAGAACTGATTAAAATTTGGTTGAATTTGGTTAAAAATTGAACGAGAAATGAACAAAATTTTGTCTTGCTTTTCCCGGTCAATTATAAAAAACTCACTGAATGCGTAATTAGGACGTGTATAATGTATGCACGCAGTACTAAGAAGACAATGAGATGATAAACCTCATTAAGCTTCAGCCCTAATTGTCTATTGTCTTAGTTGCATTTCACACGACCGAAATTTAATGTGGGCGGAGGTATGCAGTCTCTGAGTGCCCTCTAGTTGATACTGTTTTTATTAAAGAAATGAGCTTTCCATCTCATGCGTTTTATTACACTTTCCACTTTTTCAATCAAATTCTTCAAATAAGCGTCCTGCGATGGTATAGGAATATTCTTTAATGAATAGTCAAATCGAAATTGTCGCATTATGAAGTTAGTCAGAAATGAGAAACGTAAACTAGAGTGCACAACCGATATACGGGTGCGAATGTACGAGTAGGTTTGTGTATACGAAACGCAAAGAGTGCTCAATATCATAAAGATAGAGCAAATGTAAAATTTCGCTTACCTCAAAATTCCGCAACAGTCTGTTTCATCAGTAAAGAATCATCAGGCGGTATGACAAGTTTCGAAAAATAGGGCTGCTTATATGTGTTTTGGCCGGAACGTGGGGGTGTGTGGGTGAAACAAAGCATGCATTCATCTATTGTTTGCGTTGTTTTGTTGGACGCAAGGCCGAAATGGTTGTTTTGGTTCTTGTTGATACTGTTTTTATTAAAGAAATGAGCTTTCCATCTCATACGTTTTATTACACTTTCCACTTTTTCAATCAAATTCTTCAAATAAGCGTCCTGCGATGGTATAGGAATATTCTTTAATGAATATATATATATATATATATATATATATATATATATATATATATATATATATATATATATATATATATATATATATATATATATATATATATATATAAACTTCAAGTTAGAAATAAATTTTATTAAATTTCAAATAAATACATAAATACGTTTCGGGGCACAGCCCCTTCGTCAGAAACGAAATAAGTTCAAATCCATGCCCTTAAATACTTTCGGCCTAATCCTAATTAACATACACTAATAATATATAGACTTGCATTAATATTCCTCCCTCAAATTTAATCCCAGTGGTACATATGTATTTAATTTTTAAATCCAAAGGCTTTCCCACTCTGTAGGTTTATTAACATCCGTGATATCGATAATCTGTGCTTTAAAGTCATTAAGACCCGAATGGCCCTCCTCAAAAAAATGTTCATACAAATGTTGACCACATAAACCTCTTTGGTTGTAAGTAAGGAATTTTTCCATTCCAACATCGGTATGGAACAGGAGGGGCAAACATTTAGACAATTTAGGGGAAAATCAGCGTGGTGTCCTACTGAAGTAGATCCAGCAATTGAGCTTTATCTTAGTAAATTCGAAGAACGGGTTTTGGCTACTAACGAACGGGGTAGAAATTTTAGTAATCTTTCCTCAGAGGAACAAGAAGCACTTAAAAATTTAAAGAAATATCGAGATATTGTTATTAAGGAGGCAGATAAGGGTGGGGCTGTAGTTGTTTGGGGAAGGAAGGATTATTACGATGAAGCTTATAATCATCTTAATGACCAGCAGGTATATGAGGTTACTGAGTCAGATCCTTTGGATAGGGTTAATTCTTTAATAGAAAAAACGTTGGATCCTTTGGTGCATAAAGGATACATATCTTAGGCTAATAGAAAATATATAATGGTTTCTAAGGTCCGATTAGGAAAATTTTACTTGTTGCCTAAAATTCATAAGCGTTTGGAGATCGAATGTACCAGAACGGCCGGTCATTTCAAATTGCGGTACGGCCACTGAAAGAATAATCGGCATTTTTGGATTTTCATATACTGTACAACCTTTAGTGTGTAACGTACCATCTGTTCTTAAGGATGCTTCTGATTTTCTTCAATAATTAGAGAGTTTGGGACACATTCCATCTACTGCTATTTTGTGTACTATAGTACCATTCCATCTTCTGCTATTTTGTGTACTATAGTTTGTGTACTTGTACCCTCATATACCACATGGGGAAGGGTTGGAAGCGCTTCTGGCAGCTTTTAATAGGGCTGAGTGGGAGCTACCGGTTGAGGACTTGGTTTCCTTGGCAAGGCTGGTCTTAGAAAACAACTATTTTGAATTTGATGAAAAAATCTTCCGCCAAAAATTGGGGACAGCCATAGAGACCAAGTTCGCACCAGTTTTGGCAAATATATTTATGGGGCACTTGGAAGAAAATTTTTTGGAGACGTGCGAGTTAAAACCATGTAGTCTAGGACCTGTATACGAGTTTGTATGCATTTCATTTAGGACAGATAATCTCAATTGTTTTAGGGTAAGTTGACCATGACGGTCAACATGGTAACGCTGCCCGAACCCCAATCCGGGGCGAAACGTCCGAAACTGACCACACCCAAAAACGACGCTTTCGCCATACTGCTATCTACCAAACCATAAAAGCTTTGGCTATTCTGAGGTGCTTATATGGTTCAGAGATGGTACTTTTGGGGGTGGTCATTGGTAAGTGTGAAATGCCTAGCACTAATATTTCACAAGAAAATGGCCATGCAATAATCATAGTTAAACGTCAATTTGTGGCTTACAAATTCAGATAAACAGCAGTGGACTTACATAACCTTTTTCCCTAAATCTTTTTGATAGAAACATAAATGGTACTTATTTAAATATATTATCACTGGTTTGGTGTAAAATAGTTAATATTTTCTGACCGAAATAATAATTTGAAATGTGCCTACCTCCTGCAAATGGACGTATTTGGCCAAGTTCTCCAATTTACTCCGCTGTTTATCGGCGATCTCGTCGATATCCTACAAAAAATGTAAATCATCTCAGACATAATGGTACCAAGAACATTTTAAACAAGTTTCAACTTGGTTTCAAGTAGATCATACCTGTTTAACCATCGACAAGGTAAATCAACAACTTTGTCCAAATTCGGCGCCATTTTGTCATCCCATGTCGCTTGTTAACAATTCAGCATTATTACTCTTCCATCCAAGCCATTTCCATTCCACTAATAATAAATTTAACCCTTTATAACAGGAGGAAACTAAAAAATCTAAACAAAACATTAGAAATTCGCCATTTTATCACCCTGTAAAATTTCGCTCACGAGTCTTTCAAAACATTCCATACAAATCTCGCGTGGTTTAGCAACAGGGACTTGCAGGGGGGGTAGAGACTTGAAAAATGAAAGCCCATACAGTATGGTAAATTGGTAAAACCAACAATCAACATTTAATTTGCATGACTTTTTCATATTAATAAATAATAAATGTATGTATTTGTCACTACTAGAAATAAAACAAACATTTGTATGATTGTATTTAACCTTTAGTCTATTTCACGCAGCCCTTCTATCTTCGTGAAATAATTCACCCCCTCCCGTCACGTCCCTGTTACTTTGTCACGCGATATTTGTACGAAACGTTTTGAAAGACTCGTGAGCGAAATTTTACAGGGTGATAAAATGGCGAATTTCTAATGTTTTGTTTAGATTTTTTAGTTTCCTCCTGTTATAAAGGGTTAAATTTATTATTAGTGGAATGGAAATGGCTTGGATGGAAGAGTAACAAGGTCGAATTGTTGACAAGCGACATGGGATGACAAAATGGCGCCGAATTTGGACAAAGTTGTGGATTTACCTTGTCGATGGTTAAACAGGTATGATCTACTTGAAACCACGTTGAAACTTGTTTAAAATGTTCTTGATACCATTATGTCTGAGATGATTTACATTTTTTGTAGGATATCGACGAGATCGCTGATAAACAGCGGAGTAAAGTGGAGAACTTGGCCAAATACGTCCATTTGCAGGAGGTAGGCACATTTCAAATTATTATTTCGGTCAGAAAATATTAACTATTTTACACCAAACCAGTGATAATATATTTAAATAAGTACCATTTATGTTTTTATCAAAAAGATTTAGGGAAAAAGGTAATGTAAGTCCACTACTGCTGTTTATCTGAATTTGCAAGCCACAAATTGACGTTTAACTATGATTATTGCATGGCCATTTTCATGTGAAATATTAGTGCTAGGCATTTCACACTTACCAATGACCACCCCAATAGTACCATCTCTGAACCATGTAAGCACCTCAGAATAGCCAAAGCTTTTATGGTTTGGTAGATAGCAGTATGGCGAAAGCATTGTTTTTGGGTGTGGTCAGTTTCGGACGTTTCGTCCCGGATTGGGGTTCGGGCAGCGTTACCATGTTGACCGTCATGGTCAACTTGCCCTAAAACAGTTGAGATTATCTGTCCTAAATGAAATGCATACAAACTCATATACAGGTACTAGACTGCTGAAACATCTGAGAATAATGATTTTTCCCCAATTAATTTTGTTTGCCCACCCTCCAAAACATCGTGGTGGAAACAACATTTCTTTTTCGAGAAGCAAAAATATTGGCGAACAAATTCAGGATTTTTGACCAAGGCAACTGTTTTTGACAGACGTTTCCTGGTTTGCCAACCTTCGGGTTTTGGAAAATATATTTCAAACAATGTTTCAAACGTGTTTCCTGGCTTCCAAGCAAATTTTCCTGCTTTCAAACATGTTTCCTGATTTCAAATAAAGTTTTCTGTTTCAAACAATGTTTCCTGCAGGTTTCATTGGTTTGTTGACTTTTGGCGTTGCGAAAAATGGCTAGGAAAAACTGATGTTTCTGCAACGACGACGCTCTGTTTGCCCGAGGCCTTAGAGCATTTTCACAGTTTGTTTTTCCTTGTTTTATTCCTTCATATTCACAGGTAAGGCTAGCCCACGAGTATGGTGCAGTTGGAGCGATCGTATACAGCGATCCTGCCGACTCGGCCCCAGTGCAGGACACATATCCACGCAGTAAATATCTACCGTGCACTGGGGTGCAACGAGGGGCATTTGCTGTGGCAAGTGGTGACCCTGTAACACCTGGATATCCCTCGATTGGTAAGTATAAAAAAAGTTTTTAGTAAAGTTTTTAGTCCCAATTATAGAATCCGCACGTTTTCCCGGGATAACTACTGCAATCATACTGTATTCGGACCAATGAGGCACTGGCCTTTACTGGATCTCTGGTTCTTACTGGACCTCTATATGGGACCAGTTTATATAATTGATAAAGCAGTCCAGAATAAATCAGTTCAGTTCAGTTCAGTTCAGTTTAGTTCAGTGAAGTACAGCAATTTCCTTGAGCGTTTTTATCCATGCAGTAATAGACCTTCCTCTTTTGAGTGAAATTTTGATCTAGACAAGTCTGGACAAAAATTTCATCACAGCTTGAAAGAGCATCACAAAATTAGTAATATTCCGAAGTTTCGTTGCGAAATGTTTTAAAATGCGGATAATATAGCCTTGCGAAGTTTGCCGTTTTTCAGTAATTTTGCATTACAAACGGGAAATTGGTAATCAGATGATCAAACTGATTACCAATTTCCCACTTGTAATACAAAATGACTGAAAAACGGCAAACTTCGCAGGGCTATATTATCCGCATTTTACAACATTTCGCAACGAAACTTCGGAGTATTACTAATTTTGTGATGCTCTTTCAAGCTGTGAAATTTTTGTTCAGGCTTGCCTAGATCAAAATTTCACTCATAAGGGGAAAGGTCTATTGATCCTGCCATAATTAGTTTAGTCCAATAATAAACGAGTATCGGCTGTAACTTATGCAGTTTAATTTGTGGTGTACGTGATCTTCACATTGAACGACCTCATTAAGAATATAACTGCTATTCATTCCTTCAAACATATAGAAGGTATTTACAGAGTGGAGAAAAGTAGGAAAAATCTTCCAAAAATCCCTGTCTATCCAATATCAGCATGCGATGCACAGCAATTTCTTGGGTAAGTTTAAAGCGATGTTTATACACTTGTAATTTTCCCTGCGATTTTTGGGTGAGATTTTCTTCTTCTGAACAAAAGGATGAGTTACGAATGTCCAGATGAGAGTACATATACTCAAAACATTCATAACTCATCTACTTCTACTCGTTCATGCACATGCATCAGAAGACGAAAATTGGGCTAGAATGGACCATTCCCCAATTAACCAAAATTTTGATCTAAACAAGTCTAGACAAAAATTTCATCACAGCTTGAAAGAGCGTCACAAAATTAGTAATATTCCAATGTTTCGTTGCAAAATGTTGTAAAATGCGGATAATATAGCCCTGCGAAGTTTGCAATTTTCAGTCATTTTAGATTACAAACGGGAAATGGTTACCACTTCTGTGCGTAATACAAAATTACTGAAAATTACAAACTTCGCAAGGCTATATTATCCGCATTTAATTTTACAACATTTTGCAACGAAACTTTGGAATATTACTAATTTTGTGATGCTCTTTCAAGCTGTGATGAAATTTTTGTTTAGGCTAGTTAAGATCAAAATTTTGGAAAAGTGGTAACCATTTCCCGTTTGTAATCTAAAATGACTGAAAATTGCAAATTTCGAAAGGCTATATTATCCGCATTATACAACATTTCGCAACGAAACTTTGGAATATTATTAATTTTGTGATGCTCTTTCATGCTATGATGGAATTTTGTCTAGACTTGTTGAGATCAAAATTTTGGTTAATTGGGGAATGGTCCATTCGAAGTAGCAGGATTTCAAAATTAACATTTCTATGGCGTAAATTTACATATAGATATGATCAAATGCGTTTTATACCAAGTTACATTAATCTAATTACATACCTAATTACATATACTTAACCAAGACTATTTTATCTTTACAACAATTGTGATAATACTTTCTTAAAGGGATACGGCAATATATATTTTTTTTATTTCATTTGGAAGAACTTTAAAAATTATATGTTAATCTCTTTTACCGATTTTGCGTAACTTTATTATTTCTTGAGATATTTGATCTAATCACAAATCAGCGAGCTTTCCGCCATCTTGGATTTGGCGGATATGCATGTGACATCATAAGCAGGGTCACGCAAGAATTTTATCCATAGAGCAATTGGTTATTATGAGCCCAAAATCATATACTTTAGTAACTATTTGAAATAAAAAACTGCCTGACGACTTTTCAAACAAGACATGTTATTTGGTCATTTAGATGTAGTTTTATATGGCTAACCCTGCTTATGACGTCACTAAAATCACCGATAATGAGATAAAAATTAATCCAAGATGGCGGACAGCAAATTATTTTAAATCAAAATATTTCAAGAAATAATAAAGTTACGCACAATCGGTAAAGGAGATTAACATATAATTTTGAAAGTTCTTTAAAATGAAATAATAAAAAAATATATTGCCGTATCCCTTTAACTGTGTTTATCCTAACCCACCCTGTCAACTTTCCCTGTGGGAGGAAACCGGAGCACCCGGAGAAAACCCACGACTTTCGGCAGAGCGTTGACTGACTCTTTTCACAGAGACTGATCGCGAAAATCGAACCCACGATCTCAGAGGTAAAGGGAGATTGCTCGGACGACTGCTCCCTTACAGCATGTTTGTCAGGTTTTCACACGTCTAAAATCTCACATCTTGTTAAAGTGCATATGACATGAAATTTCTTATTTTCTTAAACGAAAGAACTCTTTAAGCTGTAGTGTAACTTATTTTTCAGTTTCTTGTTTTTATGGTTTGTTCCCGAGATATTTCAATTTGTTTGATATGTAAATGGTGTGAATATGTCCGCTAATTTATGACGTCACGTTGGTTGCAAGCTCAACTTACACTGGTTATAAATCTATTAACTCTAAAAACTGTAGATATCTGGTTACATTTTTCTACAGTGTTTCATCACATTTACCAGTGAGTGAAGTTTGAAATTGTCATCTTGGACGATAGCAGTGATATTCAACCATTTTGAAGAGCTTGCAACCAACATGACGTCATAAATTAGCGGACATATTCACACTCATTTACATATCAAACAAATTGAAATATCTCGGGAAAAACCCATAAAAACAAGAATCTGAAAAATAAGTTACACTACAGCTTAAATAGTTCTTTCAATTAAGAAAATAAGAAGTTTCATGTCATATGCACTTTAACAAAATGAATGATTGGATAAAACGCATTGACCTTTCAGCAAATTGAGAAAGGTTATTCCTACCCCGGACGCGTGGCAAGGCGGCTTGAACATATCGTATCACATTGGACCAGGATTTGAAGATTCTTACAACAAATGGTAAACAAACTTCCTACAGCAACTCTTAACAAAACTTTACTGTAGTCCTGATATTATCCCGATATATATTATACTATAATTATTTCAGGAAAGTACGCCTAGAAGTTTATAATGAGGAAAAGCGAGAAAATATATACAATGTCGTTGGAACTATCCCAGGCGGACTAGAACCAGGTAAATACAGAGAATTCCTGAATGTAAGTTTTGGAACTATTGGGTTTTATGACAAGAAATTAAAAATTTTTCAACTGCTCTTGATAGTACACAAATTCCATGTGTGCGTTAGACCATAGCCTATCGAAGGAAATATGGCTGTGAAACTCATTAGAATAACAATATAACTCATTATCTATGTTGTTCAACGTTTATTGATTAATCTGGTCCTTCACCGTCACGTGTGTATTGTATTCTCGCCCAACTAACCAATAGCAATGTTTTAGGAAAGTCACCTATCCGTGACTCAAACAATAGGGAAACTGGAAATTGCTATTGGTGGATTTGGTAAAAATACAATACACACGTGACGGTGAAACGACCAGCTTTATGAATAAACGTTGACTAACATAGATAATGAGTTATATTGTTATTCTAATGAGTTTCACAGCCATCTTCCCCTCGATGGGCTATGGTTAGACGATGTTTTATCTGTAACTGGCTCATCGCTTTACAAATTTCGTAGATCGTCGTGTGATAATCGGAAATCATCGTGACGCGTGGGTGTTTGGGGGAGTGGATCCTAATGGAGGTACGGCATGCCTGATGGAAATTAGCAGAGCACTGGGGCGAGCCATGAAAAACGGTAAGGAGTTCTTGGAGGGAAAGTATGGCCTGATACTCAGGCTAGCTTTCAGTTTGGCAGAACATCTGTTTCTTTCTGTACTGACATTGACCAATAAGTGATGACCATTACTGATAGTGTTACACAGTATAAATAAATATATTAAAATATTCCATTACGACCTCAGGATGGCGACCACGTCGAACAATTATGCTCATCAGTTGGGGAGGTGAAGAATACGGAATGATAGGATCAACAGAATATGTTGAGGTGAGATGACATTTATGTTCTAAATCTTCCCTTTAACATCATATTCAAGTGTGTAAATGTAAGAGCAATATTTTTGATCATTGGAGACAACTTACGATCACTGTTTATCAAATTCGTAGGGGTGAACAAGTACACTGACATTTTTACTAAAAATTCTAGGAATTCTCTCAAACTATTCGTGAAGAAGGTGTCGCATATCTAAACATAGACTCTCCAGTACGAGGTATGAAAGATAATGTATTATCATCTTCATCATCCGTTTGGTTTCACCATTTTAACATACCAGAAGCAAGGATGTTGACACAAGAGTGGAATAAAAATAATGCATGATTACACTGGTATTTCTACGTCGAATACCGATATTAAATTCTGCTCGCAACATATGATATAGCTATGTAATATTTTTATAGTTTATATACATGTTCCTTTTACAGGCAACTACTCTATCTTTGCTAAATCAAGTCCCATGTTGTATGAAGTTCTCTACAATGCAGCAAAGAAGGTACTGTACAATTTGGGAAAACGTGCAATCCTTCAGAAAGCCGTTAGTGTTACTATGTTATTTCCACATTGCGTTTAGTTTTACAGTTAATATATGAATTGATTTTGAGGCGAGAAGATCTCGGTCGGTAGATCATTCATCTGGAGATCGAGATGATTGATTCCCCACATGGCCACCTTAGCGTACGAGTAGCATGGTTTCAGGTAAAACTGGACTGTGTGGTAAGGTACTGGGAGCTGACGGCAGGTGTGGCGTTCCACCTTAGCAAAACATCTCGCTGATCAAGCGCAAGCGAATACATTTCCACTTACTTAATATAGGTGAAGAATCCAGTAAACAAGAAGGAGACAGTGTTTGACCAATGGCTGAGAAATCTTCCATCTACTGCTACAGGTTATCCCAGGTAAGACACAATGATTGCAAATGAATGCACCCTTTCTCGGCACTGTCTGCCTACAAAAACAATCTCCTTTAAAAGATCTGGAAAAGGAGAAATATCTGATCCTGCAAGGACATGATTGAGGGCCATTTTCAATTTTTCACATAAGTAAACTGCAGACATGTGCAAATAAAATTTCTTTCTTAAAGAGTGGACAATATTGCAACTGGAAGTGACTACATGGCGTTCAATCAGTACCTTGGCATACCAAGTGCAGAGATCAGATATGTTGCTAGCAAGGTAAGTATGAAAGACGCAGCATCTCATAAGTGCGTTGACCAGTCAAATTGCCGCGAAGAAACAATTTAGCCAAGCATCGTTGCTACGAAAAAGAATGTCCACGCCCTCCTTTTTGGAGGTGCTTGAGCAATGGCTAGTGCATATTCCTTTTATCTCCGTGCCCTTTAACCATTGGGCAAATAATAGATTATCCTTACTGGACATCAAAAGAGAACAACTCAGAACTAATAGAGATAGACAATGTGCACTTAGTTTTATTTAGTGATGTGAAACAAGAATCCTTGCAGCAAAGGTTCACATCGGGCTATCACCTCCAGGAATCTCGAGGGGGGGGGGGGGAGAGGCAAATTGCCTTTCATGCTCACACTTTCTGAGAAGCCATGAGTCAATGACAGACACTAGGGTGTGGGGAGAGGTCCCCCCTTCAATGATAGTTGAACAACTCTGTAACAAAGCTGCAACAATAATTTTTCAACCATGAAAACATTCATTGAGCTATATAAATGTTGATGAAATTTTAAGGCAATGATTTCCAGCAACAAATGGTGAGCATCCCCCGTCCCTCCTCATTATGCGTCCACAACTGCAACGAGTAACGTCTAATATTTTCGTTTTTCTTACAATTTCTAGTATAACTTTGGCTATCCAGTCTACCATTCACTACACGACACTTTTCATTACGTAAAAACCTTCATGGACCCAGACTTTCATACTCATCGTGCTATTGCTCAGGTTATGGCGCACTCAGTACTCGCTCTTGCGGACGACCAAATTTTGCCAATGAATGCCACAAAGTATGCTGAGAAACTACGCTTCGGAGTGAAAGCTTTGACAGAGAAATATGGTGACGTTCTCACGAAGTATAATATAACGATTGGTAAGGGAATACAAATAAGAAAAAGTCATGAAATATATATAGAACGTGGTGTTGATTGATGTCGTATCTGGTCGTAGCATGAAAAATATAGCTCTTTATTTCTGTGTGGTGTGTGAAAATTTGCCTTATAAAAAAAGGTATTTAGCTTGTTTGACAAATCAAATTTTTGAAGGTATAATATGCTGTATCTTGCAACTCTGACAAACCTTAAATGTAGTTCACGTGACCATGTATGTTGTTCACGTGTACCGTGGAATACACACGAAAAAATCTCACAACTTGTCAACAAGATATGTTCGCAACAGGCTTGTAGCAAGCATGTCAACAAGCTGTAACAAAGCTGTTATTTGATCAAGTTGCTTCAAGCTTGTCACCCGAAACTTGTTGACAAAATGTTGAATTGCAGGACGACAACAAGCTGTTGGAACAACTTGTAACAAGTCTGTTGAGCTCAACAACTTTGTAGCAAGTTGTCAACAAGCCGTTGACAAGTTGTCAACAAACGGGGAACAAGCAGTGCGAACACATCCTGTTGACAACATTGCTACAAGTCTGCTGCAGGTTTGTTACAACTTGTGCGTTTTTACCATGTGTATTGTCGGTCGTTGCGATTTTTAAAATGATTTTTTATCCGTTTTAGTATACTTAGAAAAGGCAATAGAGGCTTTTAAAAGTGTAGCACGAGCGCTTGAGAAGGAAATTCTCGAAGTGGACAAAAATGCGTAAGTGAATGTACACAAAGTGAGTTCATACAAAGCAAACCCAATGATGAAGAAGTAGCCTTAGCTAAAGAGCTCAAGCTAAATAATTTCGCTGCATGTTTTATACATTTAACAGAATTCTGAAAGTGCGTATGCTCAATGACAAGATAATGATGTTAGAGAAAGGTTTCATCAGTGGAACTCACGTATTTGGTCGTCAACAAACAAGGTACGATTTCATATATTTGCTTATTTACTTATACGCTTAATGGGCAACTTGCATGTCAGACTAATTTTTGGTCTAGGCAAAAAAAAAAGAATTCCCGTAAAAAACTTATTAATATTAGTAAAACTGCAAAATTTGGTTATACGAAATGTTGTAAAATACGGAAAATATAGCCTTGCGATGTTTGCATGTTTTGTATAGTAATGTTTGTGTTACGCGCGGAAATTGTTACCATTTTTGAGCCGAAAATGGTAACAATTTCCGCACGTAATAAACATATACAAAATTTGCAAACTTTGCAAGGCTATATTTTCCAAGCTTTATAACATTTCGCAACCAAATTGTGCAATTTTACTAATTTCATTATGTTCTTTATAGCTGTCATAGTGTTTGATTCCCTTATCTCTTTATCTAGATTAAAATTTAGTCTAACATGCAAGTTGTCCATTAGTTGTCGTTTGAGAGTTGTGTGCTTGATTTACACAGTGCAACTCAAGTTGTAAGCAGGTTGCACGCGACTGTTTTAGGCAAAAATTGTGTAGTGTGAATCGGCCTATTTTATAGTCAGTAGCGAACTACATTTCTCCGCAAGTAGCACTAGTTGTAGCTATAACCATGGTTGTTATAAGAACTGGTTAGGAAACCCGGCAAACTTCAAAGAAATTACGCTATAAACAAACATGGAGGTTGAAGAGTCAGTTTGACCCTGCACGTATTGGTTTTAATCAATGCGAATTGACCAAACGATGTGACACAAACATTCTCCATAGAAAAATGGTGGTAATACTTTGTTATTTGCAAAATATGCCGTAAGATATAGGCAAAACAAATACTTGATACCCATTCCCTTCGCCAAGCTTTCTGAACTGACTATTGTCAAACAATAGAAAGACAAAGGATTTTTCAACAGTGACCCTGCACAAGGTACACAATCACCTAAAACAAAGAGGGTCCTGAAGGGGGGTCCCAATCCCATTTCCCACCTGAAATTTTGGCAAAATCCCAGTCCCAGTTGGATTTTTATTAGAAATCCCACTCCGAGTTATTGAAATCCCAGTCAATAAAAACCCCTTTATTTATCGGTAGAATAAACAGTTTTAAGACCTTTTAAGCCATCACGTGTGTGCAAGTGGCAGACACTTTATGAAATATTGGGGGGGGCTTGTGCCAAAGGCACGGAAAATTTGAATCCCGGAAATGGCATTTGCAGCATTCTAAGACACGCATAATCAGAAAACCCAGAATTCCGGGCCCAGAGTATGTCTGTTCGCAGGTAGTGCTGTGGTAGTGCTAATAATATAGTTAACAACAAAAATCATCACCAAAGCCACCAAAAAACGGATCAAAATTGGGAATCGACTCGCATTACTTCAATCTCATTCCCATTTTTGAGAACTTCATTTCCCATTCCCAGTGGCCAAATCCCAGTCCCAGCAACCTAAATCCCATTTTCCCAGTCTAAAAATAGATCAATCCCAGTTCCCATTTTACCCCTTCAGGACCCTCAACAAAGGGTTTCCAAACCATGTCATATATATTAACCATGCTATAACGAACTACAAAAATTCTGTAGTCAACCCACCCTTCACTTATATATATACTCTTTTTTCTTCAGGCACGTTATATTTGGAATGAACAATCAAAACTCTTACAAAACCGTGCAGTTTCCAGGATTATTCAACGCCTTGACACAAGAGATGCCAAATAAAAGTGACATCGAGGAACAGATGAACATATTGATAACTCGTATTCAAAATGCTGCAAATTATTTAAAGCTTGTATAAAATTTAGATAGAAAAAGACTTATCGACGGGGATTTGCGACTCTTCAACAAGTCCATGGGCGTCAATCCTGGGGGGGATGCGTCCCCCCAGTTTTTGGAGTGGGGGTCGAATTCTAATTATCCCCCCACTTTTTGGCATGTTTAATGAAATTTTGTTTCGTGGTTATCTAAAAACCTAATGTATGGTATGCTATTCATCAAAAATTGTGATTGAAAGGAAGATATTTAATAAGAAGAAGTTCAACGTATGATCTTTCTGTAGCTGCTGGGAGCGAATACTGAGCGCCTCGTCGAGAGTAACGTCTGTTCACAGGCTAGGACATGTTAGTTTTTAGCGGATTTCTCACATGGTTAAAAATGGATTTAAGATCATGCACATTGTAATATATAGAGGATATTACACGGCGGTGCGAAGATATGACTTTTATTTTCGAGTGGTGAGAACAATATTTTACTAACGAGCGTAGGGAGTGAGTAAAATATTGTTTTTAAACCAAGCAAAAAGATTGTGAATTTTCACGCTCAAAAGAAAATTGGAAAAAGTCACGTGATCGATATCTTCACTAGTTAAGATATGGAAAATATTTCACTGTGTATTTTTCAGTATCTCACTCTCTACGATATAATAAAACTTTATAAGTGCCCCCAAAACGCTGGGAATGCCGTTTCAGTGTACCAAAATTTAAAAAAAAAATTCTGGTAGCATACCTCCGGACCTTCCTAGTTTGGAGTCCCCCCCCCCACTTTCTGAGATAGATTGACGCCCTTGTCAATAACTGACTCGTCCCCAGTCACCCCGCCTTGACGCCAGTGTTTCCAGCCCGCGCTTTGTATGTATAATATTCTTTACTATAAATTATTCAGCTGAATGAAGATGACGAGTCAGCTTCAACCATGCATGCAAAAATTATTAATGAGACCCTTATATATATTAAAAAATAAAGAAATAAATTGCAATTTATATGATTCTTTCTACATATATACTGTAAAGGCAGGCGTACATAAATTTACTCCGCTACGCCTATGCAATTTTATGTCAGCTATATAGATGTGATTGTGAACCAAAATGTATAAACAGAAAGAACGAAAAAACGTTTTGTGCTGTTTTGCTTGAATCGCCAAAATCAAAAGCTTGGTTGCGAGATTAAATATGAACTGGGTAGAGTGAAGATCGCGGTTAAACGTCAAGCACATGCGCGAGTATAAGGAAATTGCGGGGAAAATGTCTGCCAAAAATAAAAGAAGTATAACAACGGCATTGGAAAGCGTTTACTACAAGGTAACGGCTAAGATAGGGAATCTCACCGCTTTTCCTTATCTCATACGACGAGGTTATACTGAGTTTACACTCTCGTAATTTTCTTTACACTTTTTGTTAGAGCTTCGTGAAGGCAATACTATTTCCACTCTTTCGAGTTCAAGCGGTAATCATGCACGCGCATGTTTGATCCACTGATCTGAAATAAGGAATGGATAGCGCATCTGCTGTGCATAACTGAAGCCAATGGCGCCATATTGGATGGTCCCACCATAAATCTAATCTGGTGTTGTGGACATGTTTAACTCTTCCTTTATGTTCCTAGTCACTAGTGGGAAAGGACAATTATTGCCTAGATAAGAATTTATCATCAGTAGCCTCTCTTATTCCTAAATTTGCGGTGAATAACTAATGAAGGCCATCAAATATGGCCGCCATAAGCCACATTATGTGGTGTATAAAACATTCTAAAACTATTTCGAAGAGGTTTTGGAAGCTATATTTCACAAGTCATATAGGCGAAGATATTTGCTTTATAGTCTAACTGAACTTAAACAGCAAACGATTAGACTGGTCCATGAATTTGACTGATTTATAAATCTCATCTCATTAAAATATTCTGGCTTCAAAATCGGGTTACTGAATTCAATAGGATGCTTCAACCAGCCCTTATTTCAGATCAGTGGTTTGATCGCAGTGTTGCTAACGTGTGCGAACCACTGCGCCATCAACAACAACTATTTAAGAAATAGAAAACATTTTCCGTGTTTCTATAGAGTTATAGAAACACGCGTGCTAGTCTGGGAGAACGAGAAATAATCAGTGGGAACACGAGCACGTAGTGCGAGTGTTTCGACGTTATTTCGAGTTCTCCCAAACTAGCACAAGTGTTTCTATAACTCTATAGAAACACAGGAAAAAAGTTTTCTATTTCCTTTATTAAAAAACCTCGTGGTAATAACACAAAAACAATATTTTTAACGCGATTAAAAAGTATATTCTCATTACACAATAACAAGAAAATGCTGCCTAGCAACAAATTTATAGCAGCTTAGTATAGCTGACCAAGTTAACCTGTAAAAATATAGTATAGTTAATTATTAATACCGGCATCAATTTTCAGTTTTACCGACTGCAAAATTATGGAATAAAACACGCTGAAAAAGTTGATTTAAAGAAAATTTAAAGCGAAAAAACGTTTGGTCAGTGTTTTCCATTTCTTGTTTAACAAAATTTCAGGTTGACGAAGATTTTTAATCGATATTTCAGGTGAAAACGTCTGTTTTCGTGTGTTGCTTTTGAGGTTCGTGGAAAATTCCCGTGTTCTATAGCGTTATAGAAACACGGGATTTTTCGCTTTTCAACCAATCAGCGCAGGCGTTATTAAAAGGTTATTTTATAAAGGACTATATCACGTCAAAAATTCCATCACAAAATTGCCTAAGTTTAAAAAGACTTGTTTGTGTTAAACAAACATGGATACATTACCCGCGTGGCTTATCTTCGCCACTAGTTTAAACATGGTTAGGTTAGGGTCAAACAAAAGCAATTTGTTGGGAAATTTCAGCAGTGGTGGTCATCTATTACGAACAATGTCTAACAGCAGGTGCGCCAATGAGGGGGCAGGACCCTAAGTGGGGTTGTAATTAGCGCTTTTCGTCGCACTAAGACTTAAGCTCAAACATAGTTAGGTTGATGGACCAACAGTGCGAGTGAAACAATAGCAACATAAGGGGTTTAGACACAAGAGGGAGGGACGCGCGTGCTGCGCTATTGTGCTGCACCACAGCAAAAATACCAACATGTTGAAACTGGTCAAAACGCGAAGCAATCTCCTGCAAAGCTATTGTGCACGTCCAGTTTGGTTTGCAAGAGTCAGGAAGGGCGAGCAATCTTGCTAAATACTTGTTTTTATATAAATAGGCCATAATATGGTATCGTGCTGGATGCTGCAACAAACATTGAGTGGGCATTATATAAACAAAGAGGGGGTTGCCCTGTTGGACTTTAAATTGTATCAAAACTGTTTATGAAACCGCAGGGTGTATAAAGCCAATATCATTGCTCTTATGAAGATCCGGACTTGATCTTATAAAAAGTGATCAATTTCACTGATAAGTTATCGTTTTTACAAATTGGATTTAATTAAAAAATACTACAATAAAACATTCCTAATGCAATATAGCCTCTACAATGGTTACTACAAATGACATTGCACTTATCGATCTTCTGTGTTAATTAATATCAAATACAGTACGCATCTCCATTTATGTAGCTTTGTAGGTGTATTAAATGTTGTTGTTCTTGTTGTAATGTACTAATCCACATATTCCTTTTTACACAAAAAGATACACATGTATAATATATTTCTATATATAGCGACCTGCATGGAAGTTCCTATATTAATTGTATAGCTATTTCTATTTCAATCTAAATTGGGTTTCATAAAATTGTGGACCATAAGAGAGTCCATATACGTCAAGGAGGTCCAAATCGACTCACATTACATGGAACAGTGCATGGCAAGTGAATGCCCATAGATTCTATTTTTGTTGAGATAGCCATGTAGTCTTTGAATAGAGGTAAGCATGAGGTCTATGCACTTCTAAACGAACCTAAAATAGTAGCCTAGGGACGAGAATGGACCCTGAAATCAAACCCCAAATAGTGTACGATTCAAGCAAATCCTACCCCAATAGGTTGTGAATTTGACTCACATTAGTCATTTTAACCCTATTTTTGGAGTTGAAAGCCATTTCGGCTCCAGGTTTAGATGATAGCTTGATGCATTCCCTCCACATGGTTTTTGTAACAACAGAATTCTTGATTCAATGTTTTTAAAGCACATATTTTGACATTTGAATTTGGAACTGGCCCCTTCGACTATATAGCCTATAGGCTCCCTAACTTCAGCAGAGATGGGTAAGAAATCATTCGATTACTGTAATATTCAGTTTCACAACTCATTTAACCTAACCAAACACCGCAGGTTTTCTGTGGAATCAACAAGGGACGCCCTTTACTGGACTTCAAGGGAGAGCAGTTTTGAATGCATATACAGTTCCAATATCAAGGATTGGTACTAGAGAAGATAGTTGCACTTCGCTATACTGTAATGAATTACAATTTTAAAGTAGCGAGTACTTTTTGACTACATTTTCAATTAAAACAGTAATTGTTGCGAAATATAATTTTTTCAGTAGCGAAGTCGTTGATTATTTTTCAAGGAACAACGGGAATTCGCTACATTTCAAAGTTCCCATCAATCGACTGGAGACGTAAAATCTACCAGAGCGTGCAATTTTTTGTCTTCTTAGTCCACCACCAAGAACCTCAGAGTTTGATAAAGGCTTTCTTATATTACCAACGTATACGGCTTTTGCTGCTTAATAGGGTCCATTTATCATCTTTTTTGCAATTATACAAATTAGAAGAACATCAATGTAAATTGCAAATGTGGATAGCAGGATGTTTTGTTGTAGCAAAGTAGCGAATATTTCGCTACATTCCTTAAACAGTAGCTATATATAGACAAGTCACTATAGCGTACTCCATCTCTTGTGAAGTAGGTGTATATAGGTGTGGCTGACTATATTTTTTCGACGTACCTGCAGCGGACTACAAAATTTTAGAGTCAACCTACCCTTGTCCAATATAAATAAAGTTTAAACTATTCTGTTTTGACATGCGGGGTATATATTTGTTCCTCTCCCCGCGTGTTGCTACTTTGAGGAGGCAAAAATGTTGTTTGTTTCCCAGCGCGAAACTGTCTCGAAAGCCAGCTGTTTGCTGATGTTGTATCGTTACAACTATGCTGAATGTCACATCCCATGAACAGTGACGATACTTCAAGTGTAATATTACGTTAAAAGTTTTTAATAAAAAGTTAATGTGATGAAACTCTGCTGCCAGCTTGCCACACCGAACAAAGATAGCTCGCGTCTTTGTCACAAGTATTGGAACTATATGTACAAGCACGGCTACGATTCCTGAAATCTACCGCAGCTGTCGCCTCAGACTACGCCAGAGTGAAATAAGCACGCCTTCCTTTTGATCGTAATCTCCTATCAACGGAAAAAATATTCGAATGCCTCACTTGACATGCGAATAGACAGCGTTCACACTACGGCGGAGCGAAATTGTTTGAAAAGTCACTTTTGCCGTAACAATTTGAGCACGGTTCTATAAACAGAGCGAGATCAAAACGGAGTGGTTGGCGGCTTGGTCTTTATTGTGTCTAGTATTGTCTATAATACCGCATTGAGGCACTTGCACGATTTTGGAAAGTCTGATCTGACAGCAGCACTGCCACGTTAAATACCTTCCTGTGCTACTGCTGTGACAGTTGGACCATGTTTTGCGTGCAGTGTTTGCTCTTAATAAGTTTCGTTCATTAGTGTCTTTGTGCTCTTTAATTAAAACCAAGCGTTTAAGGTAGTTTAATTAGTTTGTAAGTTTCTTTGTTTGCTTCTTATTAAACTACAGACATGTTAATTTTGAAATTTTCTAAGAATGATAAATCCTTTCAAACTTGATTAAACGTATTTGACCTATGAAAACTCTTTGTCTATATTTTCTAGCCGTATACAACGTTAATTAAGAGAATTAAATATTTCACTTGAAACAAGAAATGTTACCCATGATAGGCAATACGTATCGAATAGGTATAATAGTTGCCTGCATACCTGCCATTTTGGGTATGTATAACGTGCCTGACTTTCAGTGTGAAAAATACGTAAGTTTATAACCTCCGCCAGGAGGTTATGTTTTCAACCGCGTTTGCATGCGTATATGTGTTTGTTTGTTTGTTTGTTTGTTTGTTTGTTTGTTTGTTTGTTTGTTTGCTTGCTTGCTTGTTTGTTTGTTTGTTTGTTTGTTTGTTTGTTTGTTTGAGAAATTAGCAAAGGTTTGTCTTGCTTTGCCAAGCAGGGTAAACTGAATACGTAATTAGCCATGCATACATTGTGTAATTTATGCATGATACAGAACTTAATTCGTTGGCAGAGGTGAGCAGTCTTCGAATGCCCTCTTGTATTTTGTATAAGTTGGTATCAAAATCTTCAATACTGTTGGTTTCATCGAAATCGAGTTGCCTGTAAAGGCATTTAAGTAGGATGCGATAATTCGCGTACTTACGTACGGGAGGTACGTCAACATTACGGTCTGGTAGTTCTTTATGGCCTTTCCAAGCCCCAACCAAGATATTCAATACCGTAATTTAGTTGGTATATGTGTAAGTCTAAAATGTCTTGCCACGAAACAGGATTGGATTGATTTTTAATATAAGGAATGTTGGAGAGTTTTGTTTGTATATGCAATTGTGCTTCTCTTTCTAACTCGTAGTTTGAATATACTTTTCATGCAGAAACCTGTACTTTTGTGCACTTTATTTTAAAGACTAAGTATACACAATGAGTATATACTGAGTTTGTAGTAAAGCAAGTACACGGCAATAATCATTGCCATAAAGGCGATGAGTGAATGAGATATGAATGAAAATGAAACATGTCAGAGAAGTGAAAAACAGTCCACGCTCACTGATTTACTGTTGTACTTTTTAACATAACATCGTTATGTTTGAAATTGTGTTGCAAGTTCGAGCAAAAATGATCACGTCACACGTGTAACATGGCTTGCCTTTCTGTAGGGTCATGTAAATGGGTGAACCGACAGCATTGAATATTTTCCTTATCAAAAGTTTTGGTATACTGACCAGTTTTCGACATTTCCTAAACCAAAAACATACATGAATTTGTATTCGAATGTTATTGTGGGTCTAATTATATCATTGTTTATGTTAAGTTGTTGCAGTTGTATTACCTTGCCTCACGTGCCCGCTGTGATCTAACTGTGTTTCACAGCTTGACGTTTTGCGCTCGCGACCTAATAACAACCTATACTTACGTAAAAGGGCTATATATATATTGGTCAGTTTCCTGTACGACAGTGAAAATCTATGTATTTGGAACTAATTTTAAACCGTATTCAATTGTGTGTGTTTAAGAACGCGTTACACTTTCCGTTGGTTTTGAATATTCTAAATTTGTTCTATACTGTCAGCTTTCACAATATAGTGCATGTTTTGACTTTTTTGCGTTATTAAAATTTGTTGTGTTTTTATTACAACACAAAAGTGACTACATAAAAATTACAAATGGAAAGAAACTTCTTTTGAAAACTTCCCTTTCTATTCTTCATAATGGAGATATTTCATATTTTTTTAATTAACAAAACGTGTGCATGGCAACGAAGTTCAATGAAATTTATGAATGTATACAATGAAATTAAATTCAAAATTTGTGGCGTTACAGAGTGGAGCTCCCGAGGGTTGGCAATAATCGAAAATTTACCTACGACAAGAGGTTATGTTTTTATGTATATACACACATACCATGTACCGTGGATATTGCCCAGAGACAAATTGATTAAATTGTGGTTAAATTTGGATGAAAATTGAATGAGAAATTAGCAGAAATTTATCTTGCTTTGCCGATCAGAGTAAACTGAATGCGTAATTAGACATTGCATAATTTATGCATGATACATAATTTAATTCTCTGGCTGAGGTGAGCAGTCTCCGAGTGCCCTTTAAGCCTGGTTCACACTAGCAATTCTGTCGGCGATTTCTCTCCTCCTGGCAAATGTGATCGAATGAATGACATACAAAAGACTTAGAATTGTTTACTTCTGAAAATGGACCATGAAGATGAACGATTGATGAATGGACCATTCCCCAATTAACCAAAATTTTGATCTCAACAAGTCTAGACAAAATTCCATCACAGCATGAAAGAGCATCACCAAATTAGTAATATACCAAAGTTTCGTTGCGAAGTGTTGTAAAATGTGGATAATATAGCCTTGCGAAATTTGCAATGAAAATGGTTACCACTTTTGCAAATGAAAATGGTTACCACGGAAAAAGGTTACCACTTTTGCAAGATTTTGATCTTAACTAGCCTAAACAAAAATTTCATCACAGCTTGAAAGAGCATCACAAAATTAGTAATATTCCAAAGTTTCGTTGCAAAATGTTGTAAAATGCGGGTAATATAGCCTTGCGAAGTTTGTAATTTTCAGTCATTTTGTATTACGCACAGAAGTGGTAACCATTTCCCGTTTGTAATCTAAACTGACTGAAAATTGCAAACTTCGCAAGGCTATATTATCCGCATTTTACAACATTTTGCAACAAAACTTTGGAATATTACTAATTTTGTGATGCTCTTTCAAGCTGTGATGAAATTTTCTCTAGACTTGCTGAGTTCAAAATTTTGGTTAATTGGGGAATGGTCCATTGTTCACTTCTGAAAAAACGACTCTATATTTTTGTGTGCAAGTTCATGCACTCATTTGCATCCGTCAGAAACACAAAATCGTCGACAAAATTGTTAGTATGAACCATGTTTTAGTTTGAACATTGACAAGTTTTATACATTAGGCATATTCAATATAAAAACATAACGTCAGTAACTAATTTTGCAGTTAAATTTTGTTTAACGTTAACGAAATGAATGTGTGTATAAATATTTGAAGCTGGGGTATAAAATTCATAGTTATATAGGAATTGAAAGGGTCAGAAATGATTATAATCGTTTTAAAGTTACAGACAAAATAAAACTCAGTTCAGTATATTACGATATACTAAAACTGTCACAGCGTTCTTCCGGTGTGATTTGCATTTGTTCCATCACAAAGAAAATACCGCAAAGCATTGTGGTATTGCATGTATTCATTGCACGAAATAAACAAAACTGAGAATATATCACAATTACTTCCCAGTCATTTTTTTAGCTTGATTGTGTTAGTAAAAAACAAAACGAAATTAATAAACTAATCGAAAAAGTATAAACTGACTAGCTTTATCGGTTCTAAACTGTTCTCCTTAAAAGGCCTGTTCCTCGTGTCCACAGCGAAAACCGTAATACCCAAAGAAAAAGCTGTCGTGTTTGGTAATGTAAAATTAAAGCTGTCTCAAATGGCGTTGAGGGAAAATGCACTACTTTCGGCCCAAATGTGGTACATTTTCTTGCGCGTAATACAAATTAATACAAAATTTGCAAATTTCGCATGGCTATATTTTCCGCATTTTACAAGATTTCGCGGCCAAACTTTGCAATTTTACTAATTTTAACATGCTCTTTCTAGCTGTGGTGATGGATTCTGTTCTTCTTGCCGAGATCAAAATTTAGTATATAGCTGGAATCATCTATTGGGGACTAAGGGGTACCCTGGATTCCAGAGCCTTCGACAGTAAATGATAAATTGAAACGTCGCGAAGGCTCTGGTTCAACGGGAAGCTTCTCTGATTAAACCGCGCCAATCACAAAACAGATTCTGTACTAAAACCACTAATTCTGTTTTGTGATTGGCGCGGTTTAATCAAAGAAGCTTCCCGTTGAACCAGAGCCTTCGCGACGTTTCAATTTATTATTTACTGTCGAAGGCTCTGGAATCCAGGGTAACTAAGGGGCTATAAGATGCGCCGATCTCTTCACTTCCGAAAAAGCCAAAATCTAACTTTTGTGCAAGCTTAAATTGATAATCTATGGAATTGAATAAATATTTTGCACTCTTTTTTAAGTATGTCGGTAAATTGTCTGCTGATATTATGATACAACAGGTACCCCTATACATAAAGCGAACTTTTTTTGACACTTTTAACATTTTTGACAGCAAAAGAGCGTAGTCCGCCCATATTGGCAATATAATAACGACAGGTACCAAAACGATGCTAACGCCTAACTAAATGTTTTAAATTACTTTTTGACTGTGTAAAGATACACTATACGCGAAAGTTTGAAAACAAAAGTGAGCATTTCAAAAATATTATGCCCTTCCAGCAAAACATGCATTATTATATAAATGACTTGGTCCAATCAAGTATGCTATAAATTGATAGAGATATCCAACAACCTGAAAAATATAAGCAAAACTTCGGCGTTTCGAGCGAAGGCCCTACTGACTTGCCGACGAAAGGCCTCCACTCGAAATGTCGGCGTTCTCCTTGTATTTTACAGGTAGTTGTATCCCTATCACTTGGCAGCTTTCTTATATTATAGTCACTACCTATATACACTGGCACATATCAAATCCAATCAAGTAAAAATTTAACCCATGAAACTCAAATGTATACTTTGTGAGATATTTTACTCTGCTAAACGCCAGAAGCGTTGCATGCTCGTCAAGGGCTATAGCAAATTAATGGGTCAAAGAGACTCTGCTCATGTCTGTTTTAACTGCATGATTAGGCGCAATGCGCCTTAATGCTCTTTACATTGTAATTTTACTCGCTCTGACTCTCTGGATTCAACAGACTTCCTGCTGATGTCCGTACTAAGCCGTAATGCGCCCGATATTTGAACGCAAGCTTGAATTCCCTTCAAGGCAAAAATGTTATTTTGTACTTCAATACTTATGAGATATTTTACTCTGCCAAGCGCCAGAAGTATTACTCGTCAAGGGCTATATAGCACATTAATGGGTCAAAGAGACTATCTGCTCATGTCTGTTGTACTGATTATAGGCGCAATGCGCCCTAATGCTCTTTACTTTGTAATTTTACTCGGTCTGACTCTCTGGATTCAACAGACTGTCTGCTGATGTCTGTACTAAGCCGCAATGCGCCCGATATTTGAACGCAAGCTTGAATTCCCTTCAAGGCAAAAATGTTATTTTGGCTTTAATGGTTAATCATACTATCTGTCACATCTCTTGTTGAAGTATCACGCTGCAAGCAAAAGTGCTGGGCATTACATGTGATGTTAGCCAGACAATCCGGCGCCCATGTCTCTCAACCTAAGAAGCCGCAATGCGCTCTAATGCGTCCTATTTTGTCATCTCACTGTTTAATGCTAGGCCTTTTTACTCATCAAGAAAAAATGTTAGGCATTGATGAGTGAACTATATACACTATATTTGGCCGCGTATTATTCATTAAGCCGCAATGCGCCCTATTCTTATAAGGTATAATTATTACTGCTTTGAAAAAAAGCGAATAAAGTTCAAATATTAACAGTCTCAAATCTTCAATTCCTAGCCAGATGGGATTTTATATACATATCACAGCATAAATACATAGTTCTAATATCTATAATATAATTGAATAACATAAATACTTATAAGCACTTTTTACATATATCTACAATAGTGTACATGTAGTCTTAAATATATTATATAATTAAATATACTTTATATACTGCCCTCTCATAAGTCCAAAAACTCACTATATATACAATAAGGCGAACGACAATTTTTAAGCGTATCTATTTCGCATCAAAGAAGGCGAATAGAATAAAGGTTTCAGTTCTTGCGAAGCGGTTGGCACTGGGCTCAGCTGTGGATTCTGCCAAGAATTAGAGCAAGTAGAACCTTGACAACAACGAGTTCGTTCCCGCGATATATCCACTATTTGATCGTCGCAAAGACAGCGTTGGGAGTAGGCTGGGTTTTCGTCCGTACGAGGCGAAGATGAGGTAGGAATTGGGTAGGGATATCGTGCGGAACTGAGGTTATTCGAAGTGTATTCTGCTGGGTTTGGGGTCAGCTCATCTAGGCTTTGATACCCATAATGATGCGCCAAGCTGGACTCCGGCGAAAAACGAGATAAATAAGGGTGAGATTCTTGTAGACCACTTCGACTCCAATACGGGTCCCATGAAGCATAATATTGCGAATACGGCCAATAATTGCCACTTTGCGGATAATACCAGCTCGGAAGCCCCATAAAACCTCCATGTCGTTTCAACGCGAGGCGGTTTTTTAGGTTAGGGTTGCTTCGACGTTTCAGCTTCCCTGTCGTCCCTCCGATGATGATATCGTCGCTACTCGGATCTAGCATCCAGTAATTTCCTTTCCCAGGGTCGTCGTAGTGGCGAGGAACTTTTACAAAACATTTGTTTAGAGACAAATTATGCCTGATCGAGTTTTGCCAGCCTTGTCTGTTGTTGCGATAGTATGGAAAATTCTATAAATGAACACGGAGGAATAGTATTAAATAATCTGTTGAAAAATCTGCTTTCTATATTATATAAGGTGAACTCCGAGACAAGAACTCACGCTTTAATTTTTAGCCGCCTAAAGTCAACAAGTTTTCATAAAATTTTCTTAAATCGCTGGAATCGCCCTATAACGCAGTACAACATATTCTTCAAACAACACATTTTCGCAACATGGATTTTCTTCAATTTTTTTTTCACTGAAGACGGTCGGGCATACGGATCTGAACTGACTGAAGATTAAATATCACAGTATTTGTAAAAAGGTTTTCCTTTGAAATCCGTTCCTTTCAGTATGTCGAAATTTAGTAAGAAAACGGTATACCGAAAAAGGAAATTACCTCGAAACACCAAAGCCCATGGCTTTTGATAAATTGTAGAGTTTTAATTATAGGCTAGATTTTAGAGTGTTAAACACCAAGTCAGTTCTCTCAAACATTTCTTACAAATCCTTCAAAGCCTTAGAATTTACCAACTTTAAGCACCAGAACATAGGGGCTGTTCATATATGAGTCAGGTCAGACCAGCCCGGCCATAGCCATTGATGAAATGTGTCACGAAATTTTTTCCTGACCATAAACGATCGTTTGAATGGAGTTTTTCTGACTGGATTGAAACTAAAGTAATTCAACTTTGAAATGTCATTCTGGATGTTTATCAAAACCGTAAAAAGAACTTTATTAAACTAATCATCCCAAATAATCGGGACAGCCCGCCTTCATACGAGCAGCCCTTTAGTGGGAAAATAATTAGAGTGGAAAAAACAATTTAGTATATGGACTGAAGATGTTTAAATTTTCAAACTATACTGCCAAACAAGAGATGCTTATATTGGATCGAAAATTTCTTGCTGTTGAAACTAGGCGTATACAATGGAATCTTCATGGATTCGTTGGAACTCTAGCTCCGATTCCATTTTCTATTTTCCGAAAAAAAGTTCAAATAAATTAAAATAAATATTTTGTTGTCCTCACACTAGTGCTGTAGCCCAACAATTTGAGCACACGTTAAACATTGATAAGCAAAAATTGCATGCGTATAATATACTTAGGCCGATTGTACGACTAAGCATCGTTTCTATAAGGAACATAAAAATATAAGGTCCTTATATATAAGCTGCACAAGTGAGCCTATATACTCAAAATATGTATACTGTATATAAATGGCTGGCTGTGGAAACAAGTCATTGTACTATAGCCCAACAATCATCTCAATAAAATATAAGAATATTAATATAAACTGTGTACAATATACATGCACTTAAACCACGCATGTATGTAATTTTAAACTATATCTTGTGAATCTTAGAATGGTTTCAGCAATGCAGAAAATAGGTCCTCAAATTGGGCTTCACTCAGTATACTTTAAATATACTGTATACATAATAATATCGTTTGTTATATAAAGTGTATAACTGCAAACACTTCAATAAACGACAAGAATAAACTGTGAAAATCTACTTGAGTCAATTTCATAAGCACTTGTGAATCTAAGATGGTTTCCGGTTGCGCTGGCCTTATATAGATAAACTGTACATAAAATACGAATTGTGCAAACAAGCCAACGGTCTCAAATAAATGATAAGAATAAACTTTGTATAATCTATACTTAAGCCAATTTGAAACACTTGTGAATTTAAGTGCATTAGGTTGTCTCATGAACATAATAATAGTCCCTTAATCTTACACAGGGCTTAACTCAATACTCATATACTGTACATTAAAAAGTCATATATACAAATAGTATTTTATATACACAAGGTGCACTGTAGGCGTTTATATACGTACATTTAATATGAATATTTACTTAACATACCTTAACTATAAATTCATAAATGCCACTTAAGGTGAGTCTCTTCTCCGGCGACGATCTTATCGCCATCATGATTAGGGCATTGTAGGAGAACGGTGGTTTTTCGGCTCGTTCATCTTTTGATTCCGTGCTTGTCGGTTCGGTCTTCGATTCTTGAGTCTTCTCTTGAGGTGAACTCTCTTCGACGCTTTCTATTTTATCCGACTTCGATTCGGACTTGGCGAGTTCGTCGTCCAGATCGATGGCAAGCATTTTGCGAATGCTAAAATTCTCGTTAAATACCGAAGGAGATTTCACTTGAGTGTTTGGCATCATCGTGATCGTACGAGCAGGGAACAGCAAGTGAACTAACAAGCGCGAAGCAGGTGACTAAAATATCAAGTGTATATCCGTTGGTGACCTGTTTTTAAACGCCTGCTTGAGTAGGAACCCCACTGATTATGGAAAAATACTGTTTGCGTCCTCTCTGCGTTGTCACGGAGGAAATAAACACGTTTCTTGCAAGGTTCGTCGCGATGGGGACTCTCGCGCGCAGGAGAAGTCACAAATTTGAAATTTTCAAGACCTTGCTGCGCTTTTAACCGGCATGCAGTTGGCAAACTTTTCCCACCTTGACGCCTAAGTATCGCTTTTTAAACGCAGGTCATTAGAGGTGTAAGTGGCAGAGCGTCTATATAGTCGAAAATCAGCGTTAAATTGGGCTATAGAAAGAACACTAAGCATTTGCAAAGAATTGATGGGAACAATCAAACAAAAGCCATCATGCCTTCCACTCGTAAGTGAGCTTCTAATTGCGGCAAATTGTCTTATTCGTGTCAAAATAGCCGTGCTTATAAACGAAGGTGAAAAAAGTTTTATACAATACGCTTTCGTAAATTGTATCAGTCTCAAAGGCGTGAAAAACCTGTTAAAGATATGTTCGAGTTCACAACACACGGTGCTTAGTAGAAAATTTAGCAGTAGGTTGGGATTACTATTTGACGGGTGATTTGTCATGGCCTTTTGTCGATCTAAACAATATACCTCCCCAGTAAGTGTTTCTAAAACTTTTCACAATAGAACAGTGCCTCTCACACTTGGCCACAGTATGGTTATTATGACGTTATTAAAAAGTATTTAACAAACTAAAATAAGGACAAGCCTATCTATTTCTTTAAGGGATTAGCGAAGGCAAACAAATACATATTTTCGGAAGAAAAGGAGCATACAAATTGCCGATATTGGGCGTACGTGTATAGAATGATGGCTTGCACGTTAGATAAACATTAGCCAACACGCTGAGGGCGCTTAATTAGTTTTCGACTCATGTACTCCTCGTGTGTGCCCCAACAGTCAGAAATATGTTGTACACATTGGGAATTGTTGCACAACAGTGCGTTTTCGCCAGCTTCAGCATGCGTTGTTACGTGGGGTAAAGCTTGCATGGCTTTCCATGTGGTTTTTAATCTATAAAGCTATACAGTTGTGCATGTTTCCACAGCCTGCACGCAGGCGGGTTAGTTTGAAATTCCAATCAAGCTTCTTTGATAAAACTGGACTAAACTCGCGCAATAAAAAAGGCACATAGCCAATAAGCGATGGCCCTTACTAGATCTCTATTTGTGCAGAACAGTTTAAAACTGACTAATCTATATCCATCCAGTATGACTATAAAGTTAAAGTTTAGTTCAGTTTACAATATACAAATTTGTTTACTTTATACTAGATCAAAATGCACTCACAAATTCAAACCCACTTGAGCAAAAAAATCGATATGCCTCTTTCGCGGAGTTACGAATTATAGCACAAAAAAACAACCGAGTAAATCTATAAAGCTTCATTCAGTTATACTATAAGTATAATAGTTTTATTAAAGTACAAATATAAGTGGCTTTATAGCACGTTCGCGGGAAGTGTGTCCACTTGAGTTTGTAAAAGTTTTGTACACAAGGATGACAAAAAGTGGCGACACAAAAGCCTCATTAGAATGCTTAATTAAGTTATCTCATTTTTGATATATCAATGTTGTGACACAATAGCATGGCATCAGCGCTGTGCAATGTCATATGAGTAAGGCATTGTCTTCGCACTAAGTCAGTAGGAGGATTATATTTATTCGGGCACTAATTATCTCAGCAAGACTGTAGGACAGGTGCCGGTACAGGCACTATAACGTCCCAAAAAGCGGTTGTCCATTTGCTTTTTTCTCATGCATGCGACACAATGTATCGTATATAAATATACACTGTATATTATTGAAAGGTATATGAATATAAGTGTGCAATATTATTATATATATAATATATATATATATATATACATAATATATATATATATATATATATATATATATATATATATATATATATATATATATATATATATATATATATATATATATATATATATATAAATTAAAATTCCTAAGAGACATTATATATCAGGTTTCTTTATGCATAACTGCAAAACTATGTCTATATATGATAACATATATTTCGCAGATTATTTTTCGCTCAGTATTAATTTTGTGTATCTGAAGGTCTGCGTGAATTTAAGTATCAGTGGCTATGTCTAAAGACTAATACTCATTAAATGAAAAGCTGTTATACATATAATAATCATATATACTGTATATATATATATAATAAATTTACAAATGTAAATACATATATGGATGCAGTGCGTACAATATCAGTGTGTATGTTTATACATTACACTATTCTGTACATATATAGATTGCATTTTATATAGATAAAACATAACAACGTGCTGCACGAATCATTAATCAAAGAACACAGCTAATATCATGTTGTAAAAGCCCCATCATTAAGTTTGATGTATTTTTAAACCACAAAGCCGAAGTTACGAATCATTACAATATGATTAAAATGTTTGAGCGTGCACCTTTTGAATTTGTGCAAGCGCACTTTCATTGAAAACTGGCATGTTCACAATATATTTACTTCTCTTCTAATATTTATTTTTGCAGGCACATTCTGCATGAAGTTATGAATTTTGCTCACAGGCGCTAAATAATATATTAATGAGCCCTGTTTAAGCATAAACGAATCACAAGGACACGCATGCATGGCTATATATACAGCTAATTCAAAAAAGGTTGTCCTTTGCAAACCTTAAACCAAAAACTCTAAGCATAATGGGAGATTATTTAATCAGTTAGAAATCATATATGGGGCTCCATCAACTATACACTGTAAATCTCAAGGAGTTGAATCAACTCCAAAAGTGTTATTCTGTCATCAAAAGATTGTTATTAGAAGACTATCTTTTACTGATATACGCGAGGCTGCATATATGGATTTATGGGATATATTAAGCCGACACACCTTTGCCGAAACGAGATGCGAGGCGGGATGATTTTGACGTATTGAACTATATAAGTTATGGTGCACGATTCAGCAAAACTATAGCTACATTATTTCTCTATATAGATTATAGTATATAAATGTGAACGAAACGTTGTTCAAACAGCAATAATGTTCTTGTACTACGAGATATTTTCAACAGTTGAGCTATTTTAACCGGTGTTTGTATGAACTTGCGTTTATAAAGCTCAGTGTTTTATTTCAATACATCAAAATCACCCCGCCTTCCATCCCATCGCGGGCCCCTTCAAGATTTGCAAATAAAAAAATCGACATGTCGTTGTAAAACATATTTAAACTCATGCATGTTTTAGAGAACGAAATGCCCTTATATGGCTTTCAGTTTTCAAATTCAACAATTTAAAGTTTATATTGCACAAAATTAAGTGAAGTCATATAGAGTGTACATGATCAATTTTCGAACATAAACATGAATCAAACTATGAAAGTAATAAACAATTAACAGTCTGTGCAAGTGTATATATAGGTAGTGATAATAACACCAGAGAGCTGCAGAGTTGAAAGACATAACATTCAACTACCTGAAGAATACCAGCAAAACTTGAACGTTTCGAGCGAAGGCCCCCAGACGAAGGCCTCGGGGCCGTAGCTAGACCGATAACTGGGGGGGGGGGGTATATTCATATATTCGTGTTCTGCCCGACGGATTTCTTTTGAAAGCGATTGTATTTAACAGTATGTGAACATGAATATATGAATATACCCCCCCCAAAAAAAATAAATTATCGCGTGTAGCTATAGACTTGCTCCAAGTCTCTCCTTCAATGTCATATCGATCCAATATAGTGAACACTACATGACGTAGCACGGAGAGGCGGAGCGAGAAAGAGAGACTTGTCAACTTCGGAAAATCTCGGTTCAAAACTGAACCGAAAATGCAAGACTTGCTTTTTCGGTTCAGTTTTGAACCGAGATTTTCCGAAGTTGACAAGTCTCTCTTTCTCGCTCCGCCCCTCCGTACTACGTAATGTAATGTACACTATAGTGGATCGATACTATATGACAATGAAAGAGAGACTTGGAGCAAGTCCAGTGTAGCTACGGCCCTGGAAGGCCTTCGCCAGAACGTCGAAGTTCAGCTTTCAGGTTAATTGAAATCCTCTCAGTCCGAAGCAGTCTGATAAAAAATGTACAAGAATTAAAAAAAATATCGTATATATCAAGTATATTGCAATTGATAAATTTAGAGATGTATATACCTGCACGTAAATATCGCATGCTATATTATATGCCCTAACTGTATTATTATGTGACTCGACATATAGGCTACACAAGTTACAAAAATTTGCAAATTAAAAACACATTTTATACAGCTCTATAATATAAGTCGCGTGTTATAGATTTGCAACAAAAAATTCATTTGATATATACAAGTTGAATATGCATATATAAATTATATAAATTTTGCAACGGCATATATTGATAATAAACTTTAGCACTGATCTTTTGGATGAATATAATTTAGATTAGCAAAATATATGCATGTTCGCGTATGCAGAAGGATCTACAACAAATCTGACAAACACGGGCATTCTTGGTATATACAAATATATAGCCTGCATGTATAATTTATCCGCACTTTCAGCCTGGTTAACAGGTGCGTTATGTTCTTTAATTTACACCTATATATATAGAGAGAACAATTAAAGTATCTTTTACTGACCGACACTGTATATATAATTTAATTGTTGTGATACACTTTTTTGAATTTTGGAATCAATAATCATTCAACAAGCCAGAAAACTTTCGATAAGCCATTATATTCATATAATCTTATATTTACAATATAAAATTTACCTATGAAGTGAACATTCAAGTATTTTCACTTCTCTGCATGGTAAAGATTTTGAATGTGCACAAAACTGCCATGCGGTCAAGTATTTTTTAAAAAATTACTCTCTATATATTAGATCATATTTAAAATCTGAACAGCTAATTATGCAAATTTTTGATGCTGATTCTCCTGCCCTTTTTCATAATTTAAGTGATTTAACCCTCACCCCATACCCCGGGTTCCCATTCAATGATCCAATGTCGTTTCAAAATTGCATACCTTTCCATCCTAAACAACTTTTGTGCGCTTCGACGACTCCTCATCCGTTAAATCTGTTTTTAAAAAATATAAACACAGATTAAGATTCTGAAAATTTAGATACGAAACTGAAAGGGCGATATAAGGTTTTCTCAAGCAGGCAAGCGCGTGCAGTTTCGATTATGCTTATTCGATTATATTTATGCCTTCACCGACATGGTTAAACGAGGATGAGAGTAATTGATGAAAGTTGAGAAGCGAGAGTTTGCATGCGGGTTTTCTCAACTACTCTCATGTCCCGGACAGATGAGAACAAGAGTTGCATGAGAGTTGACTCATGGACATTTAATACCGCGCGCGCAGCCAAATTTCTCATAAACTCACACCCAAATTTGAACCAGTTCAAAATTGATGAGAGAGCATGCACGAGAGTCGATGACGGTCAAACGCGAGCAAGAATTGCAACTCTCATTAACTCTCATCCCCGTTCGAGACTTTAATAAACAATTCCCATTATCGACTAATTTTAAAACTAGGCAAGGAGATGCAAATAAATCACCACAGCTAGAAAGAGCATATTAAAATGAATAAATTTGCAAAGTTTGGTTGCGAAATGTTGTAAAATACGGAAAATATAGCCTTGCAAACTTTGTATACTATTTTATTGCTACCATTTTTGGCCCAAATGAAAAATGGCCCATTAGAAGCGAGAGTTTCATGCAGTAACTCTCATGCATGCCCCGGTCAAAGGCGAGAACAAGACTTGTATATGAGAGTTGACGAGAGTTGTCTTGATATTACCGGTCAAACGAGCATAAAACTCTCATCAAAATTTGAACCACCTCAATGCTGATGAGAGCGCATTAACAGTCGACGAGAGTTAACGGTGAAAAGCGAGAAGAGTTACACTCTCATTTTCGTTTGAACAGGGGTTTATATAGGAACGTTTATAGTATAGGGTTCCTCCTGTAGTAATGCTGGACAGATATAAGGAACAACCATACAGACTCATGTTTGGAACAAAACTTACAGAACAATCCAGTATAAAAAAGCTTGTATATAGTTCAGTTGATACGTTTAGGCAACGTTTACACTATACGGGATAACTTTCCCTAGCGGCGCGAAAAAGCACCTAGATCCGATACGGAATGTACAACTTTCAGAAGCTGAGCGAAACTACAACTCTCCATTGCAATAACTCTTCTGAAATTAGCCTTCCTAAAAGCATGGATAATAAAATAAATGGATTGGAAACTTCTGACGTCATTGACTGCATCCTTGTTGAAAAACGTGACGTCACGCGTATTGCGAATGTTACCAAAGTTCTCGGCATATTTGTTGTTTTGCTATATTTTCCACTTTAAAAGGGTGATCTTGAAGCGTAAACTGGTCTAATTGTTTTAAAAACATGCATTTGTAGCTACGAAATTGGCGTCACAAATTTTAACGAAATTTGCGATGTATTTTTCACTGTTTAGTGCTTGAAATATTTGCTAAAATTGACTGGGAATACTTAGAGTTTTCATCGTAGAATGGCGTGGTTACATTTATTTGCTCTTTGACTAAATGTTTAGCTGTATTATTGCTAAACATGCCGTTTTTGAGAATTTGATTTTCAACTAGGTTGAGGCATCCAACCACGCCATCAATCCCAGTAAAAACATTAGGTCACGTCAGCTAGTTTCCTATCCATTTATTTTATTATCCATGCTAAAAGGTACGGATTACGGATATACGTGTTTTTCCTCACGTCGCTACGGAAAGCAAGTGTAAACGCCTACTTAGCTACATGCGAGCTTCTCTTTCACTCGTCCTGTTTACTACCCCCAAAACTACTTTCGGCTCGCTTTGTGAATGAATATTGGCCCGTGTGTAAATTTACTTGTGTAAACCTTATGTTTGCTTGCAATATCGAGCACGCGTCTGTATATAATGCTTGTATCATCATATAACAATGTCGACTGTATATTAGCTCAATATATTCACATAACAATATGTATATAGGACATAAGTTTTGAATGAAACAATATTTTGTCGATGTTTCGATAACAAACACATTTTAGTGAAAAACATAATTCGATATACATGCATCTTGTTTATCTTGAATGTTTTGTATAATTTTAACCCATTCGCAAACGGGATGATCCCATCAAAAAATTTCAATGCTTTGCTTCCGAGCCGTAACCTGAGGCGGATAATGTTCATTTAACAGGTGACCGAAAACTGTTTATAATGCATAAACCGAATCCAATTATTACTTTGTCATACATTCAACTATGGTTCAAAAAGCTAGTGGAAAAAATTCTCATGAGAGAAATTTAGAAACTTTGAATCGACTCCAAGGCAGTTTTCGTATAGCTTTTTGTAAATTTCACGGCTTTTCGCCAACAAGCTTGCAGACCGCGTTGGAAGCCTGGCACTAGCGTCCAGCATTACATCATTGTATTATGGAAATTCACAAACATTCGTTTCGTGACCATAGTTATAGGTTTGATTACAAAAATAGAAGGAAAAAACACTGGAAATGTAACTGTTTGTGACTCATTTGCATTTTTCTGTTGTTCACAGCCGAAGGTCAGTAAAGGTCTACTGGGTACGTCAATTTTTTCAGGGCAGTTGCAAGAGATCAATAATTAAAAAGTTACATAATTGAAAGTCATGACGAAGTAAAACATCGACCAATTCGCACGCGTATAGCAGATGGATCCTTTCGTGATATGCGTCATCTACTCACACTATATGAATAAGTAATCTTCATTCCGTGCAATGCATGAAAAATATCAAGAGATTTAGCAGGTATACTGTAGGATGTTCAATTCGTGGCTGTAAGCACGTCAATGCAGTCTTATTAACAAACATCGGATGAACGTTGTGAGATAGGAAAGTCACGCTATATATAAACTAGTATTATAGTGCAAAACAAAAAAAATTCTTACTCACAGAGTAACATTGCTATTGGACATTTTTGGAACGGCCCTTATAGGACGTCAAGGGAGAACAACTTAGAACTCATTAAACCTATCCAATGTAAAGTTAGAAAATTATAGTTTTAAACTAGGTTGTATAAAAAGCTAGTTAGCTGATTAGAGTTAACTATATATAGTTCGTGCGAGAGTTAACCAATCAAACTCGCGTATTGTACAGTTAACTACTATTCAACTACACAATTGCGGTTAAAATGAATAGTTTTATGCAACCGGCTCCAGATGACTTGTTGAGACAATTTTTTTTAATGTTCTTTTGAACATTCTCTTAATTTGACCCGTCTCAAACACCACACAAATTTTACTTGTCAATAAAGATGTAGCTACAACCAGTATACTGTATATACAAATAAGGATACTGCCAACCTTGGTTCAGTCTGAGCTTCTCAAATATAAGGTGTTCTTGTATAAAACCCACTTGAAAATACGCCTGAAAGCATATACGACGCTACGCAAAGTTCACTTTCGTTTAGTCCGCTTAATTCTTCAAGCTGGAATAAAAGCTCTCTTCCAAGACACTTTTTCACATGTAATTTGTAAATTTCATCGTTTTTTTTTTGTTTTGTTTTGTTTTGTTTTTGGTCAAAAGGAACATTGGTTAAATCGGTTTTCAAAACAATTGGTTTAACAATTAACTGCCTCACCCTACTCGAATAAAGGCCGAAAAATCCGTCATCTCTGTCTTAACTTTTCATTCAAGGATTTTTTCTTAATCAATGCGACGCCATTTCGAATCGTGATGCATCGTGGTCTACCCGACTCCTGAGATGAAACAACTTTTTTGTGTGGTCTAAATATACTATGTGGTAAAATGATTAGGTACTATGTACAGATCCATTTTAGAAACATCACGCTGCATAGATGTCATAAAATTTACAATAATGAATTTTATTCGGCCCTAAAAAAATACCTGTGGTTCTGGTTCCCGACCGACCCTATTATTTTTTCAACGCGATTGACCGTGCGACCTTATTTTCTCCGGGTGGTTGCGGGCTGCTCATACACTATACAGCGTGCCATTTTGTTTGTTTGTTTG